GGATGACCTAAAGTCCTGTTCTCACCTGTGAGTCACAAGGTTTGTACGGATTCTGTAATTGATGTGTTAAATACCATCTGAAGTGTTTATAGAATAAGAACTTCTTCTTTTTGGTATGTTTATAAAATAATAAAGGATGTAGGTTCAAAACCCACCTCAGGACATTGAACTCACTTGCTGACACTCCATGCAGTGCTGGGGATGTGCTAGATTGTCAGAGGTGCTGTCCTTTGGATGAAACGTTAAACTCAAGCCCGGTCTGTCTGTTCAGGTAGATGTTAAGGATCCCATCACACTATTTGAAAAAAAAATGGTGTTTCTCCTGTCCTGTCCAACAACCCCCCAAATAAAATTGATCATTCACTTTATGGCTATTTGTGGGACACTGCTGTGTGCAGTTGAAAACTGAAAGCTCGCCCACCGATTAATGAGACATTAAACTAACTCTCTATCTAGACCACTGTGGTATCTTCGAGACTCCGATAGTAGCTAATATATATTTGCCGAGAACTTTAGTATCTTTATCTTATAAATTTCTGTGGGTAAATTCTGGATTTCTCCATATATTGTATTTAATTGGGTTCATTAAATTTCTTCCCATCAATTCTTGCCATTACCAAAACTTCAATCAAGCTTCTCACGTCCATTTTACTTCAGGGTTTATCCAACAATTCCATCCATGATATTCATGGACCAGTTTTCATTGGGAGTGAGTGGGCCAGAAGTACATTACACATTGCCCGGTGCAGAAGGTAATCCTCTTAAATAACTGCGCAGATTTCGACACTTTCTTTCAACTATAAGTACTTTTGTTCACCTTATTCAATACAATTGATAACATGAATAGGATTGATCTCAATTGGGTCAATTTTGTGTGATTTCAAATACCAGCAGTGGGGTCTAATTTGTGATATTCTGTAACAGGATTACTTAACAAAATCGGATTTGGGTACAGGGCACATTTTACTAAAATATATTTAGCCAACCTTAGGGAATGCTACTCCATCACAACTTACTTCTGGAACCGAGTTGTGTGGTCTCTAATGGCAAATCACATTATAAACATGTAATAAAACAAATCAGTAATGTTTGTAAACATGACATGATAGACCTGAGTGTATTCACTTCAGCTATGGCGTGGGGGGCGCTATATAAATCCAATTTGTTGTTGTTGTTGTTACATGTTGTTTTTCATTTACAACTGAAATCCCTTCACTTGTAACATTACCAATCCCAATGACTTACATATCAGTAGAAAATCAGACCGCCAGAAGCTGCCAGTGCTGTGTCTGCCTTTCAGAGTCTCCATCCACACAATTCAATGTGCTTGTATAAAACACTGTTAAGAAGAAAGACAAAATAAAAGTAGTTGAAATTATTTTTGACTTTACACGATAATACCCAGGCAGCACATCTCAGAAAACTCCTGAGGGAGATTGTTAAAAACAGCTTAACTTATCACAGCACATTAAATCTATCTGAGTATATACAGTATATTTGGTGATGAAAGGCCTCATTGTAATGCTGTAATACCATGTGACTCGGTGGTTGAGTTGAGTTGCGACACTGGTTATTTTATTGAATGATTTGATGGTTGATATTCTCTGTTGCATGTCATAAAACTCACAATGAATGTAAAGTTACTGATGTGTTTAAATGAATATTTATATATATACATATATACTATATGATATACATAAATATATAATATATATACATACTAAAGTAATTGATAGACCCTTCTTGGTAACCTGTATCATAAGAAAATGTTTCCCCTTTTTTGTACCTCACTGGCAGTATTAAACATTTGAAGCAAGAATAGTAAGCTCACAGCCTCATTCCCCTTTAAGCAAGTGCTGAGTGAATTTCCCTTAGATCACAAGAACACAAAGTGTGTTTAAATGACTCGTCTCATTTCATCTCAACTTTGCAGGATATCCAGTTTACTGTCCTCCGATCACAGCATCCAACTCTTTTTTAAATAAGTCAAGCGTCCTGGTCTCAAAGATCTTTCCTGGTAACCAGTTCCAGTTGTTAATTACCCATTGAATAAATAAATATTTCCTAGTATCTGTCCTGAAATTGCCTTTTTCAACCCTAAACCTGTGTCCTCTGCAACCAGAAATCTGTTCCCTCTTGTTCTGCTGACTCGATATATCTCAATTTATGTTCTGGCTTTGATTTCTCGATTCCATTTAAAATCTTGCATTCTTCTGCAATGTGACAGCCAACAGTGGCATTGCTAACAGAGTACTCAGACACAGCTGCATGGTTTAATAGATTTTTCATCACAGCCATGAAGAATCGGGTCCAATTCCTGACATTTGCAAAATAAAAGTCAGCGGGCAGTGTTAAGTTTGATTGTAGGCCTGAATGGTTGAAATTGAGGTCAGGGATTTCTGAAAACTACAAAATTCTATAAAAGGTTGGGGCGCAAGAGAGACAGCTATGGGGAGAGAGTATTTTATTCTCTCTCCTTTACTTAATCTTTGCAAGCTCCCAACCCTTTTTCAAATACCACAAATTATATCCCAAATAACAGAAATTGTCTTGCCAGCAAATTTTATGTGTTGTATTAATCATATTCACCTGCCATAACCCACCAGCATGCTAAAACCATCTTTATATTTTACTGAAATATTGCATTGCTTTTACTTCATTTACTTTGCTGTGAAATGAACATATTCATCAAATTAATCCTACTTCTAAGGTTGAATTTAAGGACACTTAACTGATCTTGTTCAGATTCATGGTGGCAGCAATAAACAAAGACAAGATATGATTCACTATTATCATATTACTGTCTCACTCAATCCTGACATGAACTCCTGTGTTCTTGATACAGAGAAATCTGGCTAGAATGGGGCAATGACAAATGTAATTTATTCTCTGATACCCACATGCTGAGACTTTGAACTCCAGTCCCATCTGATCCAAAAATTCTGCTCCAGATTTAGGAGAAGATTACATGTTTGGAAGTGCCATCCTTCGAATGAGATGTTAAACCCTGTTAAGGTGGAAGTTAGCGATCCATGGCACTGGATCTCTAGACACCACGCACCATTCCTCAGATGAGAGTAATGGCGGATAACCTACTGACTCCATGTTGTCAACTTGATTCTGCAATTTTTTTTAGATATCTGGTAATAGAAGAATGACTCAGGTTTTCTGCTTCCTTTGAGGAAACTGCTTAACCATCACATTGAATGTCTACTGATGACAGGGCTGCGATATGAAACTCTACAGGTGTGACTCTCTTTATTGAGTAAGAATGAAAGATTTAGGGTTTGGGTTAGTGTGAGGGCTTAGTAAGAATAAGAGAGAAAACTTGGCCAATGGACAGGGAATCCCAAGAACAAATAGTACAGTGTTTTGGAGCTCTGGATTACTGCCTATAAAATATATGGTAAGATTTTCAGGTGGTTTTATAGTAAATATTCCAACAAAGAAAAAAATAAGATTAAACATTAATTTTCTATGTTATATAATTAATATATGTGTAGAAGAATGAAATATGTCTATCTGCATCAGTAATTTGTCCATAGAAATAGCACTGACTGATCTTCATAATTCACTTGTAATAACATAATAACATAAGCATTGTAGAATGTGCTGTAGGTCATAGATACTAATGACTTATTGTGCATGGTTTCTTTGTGTTCTGCTTTTTTCTGATTTAGCTTCTTTACATTATCTAATATCTGTGTACATACTGTGAAATCATAAACTGGCAGTCTCATACCACCTGTGGAAAAAAATCATTAACAAGAGTAATTGCCACTGCTTGGTCATTGTAGCTGTGGGCAAAGTACTAATGAGTTAATGACTGTGTGTAACACAGGCACTTGATCACTCTGGTGCTGTAAAGGATCTGTTCAGTGGCAGCTCTATATGGTTCATTTGATGTTTCTTTTCATTCGTTTCTGTGTTGAATCAGTTGCACAATTTATGCAATAGCAATATTTTGAGACTACTAAAAAAATGGAGTGAAATGATCTATACCGAAATGGATGAATTATTTAATGGTGTGACAAAAAAATTGACACTATTTGAATACCTGGATTTCCAAGAAATCAGAAGGTTAGGCATCTCCTACTTTGGGGATTAAACTCTGGGAGTCTGTGCTTATTTGTCTGTTGTTTTGTTCACTGTATTGCAAGCTTTTTCAGAAGCTACGATCCAAAATTGGTTATTCTTTGAAGTTCTTAGTCTGGCACTGAGTGATACATGGAATTAATGGTACTCTTTCACTTATTTGTAATGGAAGACTTCTGATCTATTAATTAGCATTTTCCAAGCAGAGTGCAGAGTTTTCAATGATGTACTGGACTCATTTTTAATCACAGAACAATTCGCAAGGGAACTCTAAACAGAAACTTTAATGATAATTTCTGGTTGCATTATCAGCATAATATTAAAAGTAGGGTTGGAACCCCAGATTAGTGGGGTGGTAGTTTGTCATAAGGTTAGTGAAACTATTGGCACTCACTGGCTTCCATTCAAAGAGGCTGGGGAGCATCAGGCAAGGTTTCCAGCCAGAATGGATCACTGGGTTCTTGGCAGAAATCACCAGAAATAACACTTCTCCACTTCTTAAAATGTAAGCCACAAACTAAAGCTTGCCAAAAATATAAAGCCACCTGCTTGTGGCTACCATCTTCAATTTGAGTTATGATCAGGTTCACAATTCAATAACTAGAAAAATATATGGGACTTTCTTTGTGACTCTGATGAAACGGTTGCAACACCTAAAACGTCTCCCGTCACTTGTGTCTGAAGACAAATAAAAAGCCTTTGAAGAACTGCTGTGAATTTCTAGTACTACATTATTGAGTCAGATCAGTTGTGATACTGATATGATTGTCACATCCATTTTTGTGCTCATTTTTAACCCTATAACCTGTGTGAACATTTTCCCAACTATAGTGTAATGTTTAGAACTGCATTTGTCCTCTAATCTGTAACACAGTATATTCTAAATCTGGTTGTAATATTTCTAGGTCGGCCAGCAACCATCACCATCATTGATAACAAGAATGGGGCTGTCCCAACACCGGTGCCAAAGGTGCCAAAGAAAACCGTCTCCGATGAATTTGCCACAACTTTCAGCTCTCCAGCAGCTTGGTTCCTAGTCGTGGCTCTAATTGTAACCTGGTCAGCAGTGGCCATTGTGATGTTTGACCTGGTGGATTACAAGAACCTTGTTGGTATGTAATGCAAGTCGCATGAAAAACTGTGGTACAATACATAATTTAGTAAATCCACATGCGTTGCTATGCAGTTAGCTACAGATTTTTTTTAACATAAAAAACTTATCAAACAAGTGTTTTTTTATGAACGTTTTCAGAAGATGTCTTTTACCTAGAGTCCTAGAAAGTTTCTGAACAAAAGGGTGCATAGGCAGTGGGGAGCTAGGGCCAGAGCCCCCAAATCTATCTGCAACTCAGCTCTTTAAGGTTGAGCTGAGAGGGGAAAGTCTTAAGCCCTGAGGAGGATTTCAGCCCGTCCTCCAAACAACCCCAGCCTGTGGCACCCAAGGGTCCTGTCTTGCCACTCTCCTAATTAATTTATGGCACCCGCCTCCTTCTGATCCGGCCGGCTGCTCGTGAGGAGGTGAGGACGTCAGTCAAGCCAACGGCTCACCTGTTTTAAAGGGGATCAAACCTATAGAAGGGTGCCATTCAGCCCATGGCATCTGTGCCAGATTGCTCACATGTAACAGCAGCTCACTGCTCATACATGCATTGTCCTATCTCACCAATGTTTTGGTTGATAATCTTTTGTTAGAATAACTATGCCAACTATAGAAAGTACAAGAATGTGTGTTCATAAGAATAATTATGCTAAGTACTATACTAATTTGATTTCTCAAAAAGTACAAAAATAGAAATGGACGTTATATGTTTGATGTGTGTTTGACAGTTTGTTAAACACAGTGATGGCTAGTATTTGACTAGTTTGCGAATGCAATGGCAGAAATACCTCTCTCCCCTCCCTGAAAAAAAACCCATTGGGTATAAAAGCTTTTATGTGTGATGAAGTTTCTAACCAAAATAAATAATTGTGTCATTTTCACATACTTTTTTTAGTCTATTAACACAAAGCCTTTTTTAATATATAGGCTGTGACTAAAATCACAAGAATCTTTATTTTTACTTTTGGAAAATAAAGATTCATGTGATTTTAGTCACAACAAATATTAAAAAAAGCTTCAAGTTGATACACCTTTCAGGCATATATCTGATTATTGTAGTTTGAAGTGTAGAAATGTGTTCTTATGGATCTTTCTTTAATCTCACTGTTTGATGATAATTCAGGTCAGTTACAGTGCAGCTCACCAGCAGTGCATGTCCTCCGGCAGCCATTAACAAAGCAACTTGAATCTAAACCTTGAAAGTGCTCTGTCAGATACTCCATTCCTCTAATAAACTAACAATACCAGGCAATGAGACCAGCAGCTCATTTCACACATAATCTTAAAAAGCCACATTTAAGATGATGTATTATTTATTATTATTATTATAGCCATATTTAATAGACCAGCAATATATTTGAACTCTGGCTTTGTGAAGAAGGGTGGGACTCCAGGGAGAGCGCCTGCTTGCTGTAAAATGATTACAGTAGAGAAGGAGGTCTATTGTATCTGTGCTGGTACTTGCTCTTCCACTGGAGATAATTCAATTTTCCTCTTTCCCATATCTTATATATGAGTTTGTGGGCTCAGCTTCAACACCATTTAATAATAATAATCCTTGTATTTGATATAGCACCTTATCACATGTTCAAGATGTTACAAAACACTTCATTTGTGTATTTCATACACTTCTGAGCAAGAAAATATATTTTAAAGCCTCCCCCACTTTTATTGCAACAACCCTGAATTTATGTTCTCTTGTTGAACATTAAACATTACTGGTTTTCTTAGGAGAGGTTTTTCAACCCCAAATTCTAACACTTAGTATTTCAGCTGGTAAATCAAAACAGGCCAGGGATCAAACTTGGGACATTCCTGCTTTTCCTGATCCACCATCGCAACAGGGAATAATGAGGTACCAAGAAAGCACAACATTAATGTATTTGCAGGGAATAGATTTTAGAATTGGAGATGAAGATTGAGTTGGCTGTTGGAAATCATTTTCTGATGGACAGTGGTGGAATTATCCACTTTACCTAATATGGCAGACATAATGAGATTTATGGACTGCTAAATGCTTTGCTTTTTTAATACAAATGGGGTTAGCAGTCAAGGCACCTCAGCAGCAATATCTGCTATCAGTACAACTTTAAAGGGAATGGTTTCTTGTTGTGACACCTTAGTTTTAATGGATCAGTACACTGCATTTAAGAGAATAATTGGGTATGAGAGAAATTATTCTAATTGACATTTCTCTATTTACATTGCCATGGTTGGAATGTCAATCTCTTTATGAAAGAAAATAACAGGCTTCATTTAGTAACCTGTTATGCTCTGGAGACTTGTGCAGACATTAAATGCAGGAATAGGTCACCCTTTGGTAATTGTAACTGCTTCCTTGACTGTACAACTAAAGCAACTAAGTGGTAACAAGTTTCTGGCAAAGAGAATCTGGATTTGTATTTATAATGCATAGTGATTATACAGCCTTCTTGCATCACTGGCCATTCTTGTTATCTAATGTGATGTACCTGACATAACAGCTCTTGATCCTCCGTATCATGTCATGTGCTCTAACAAAGTACTGTCATGTTGATGAAAGACGCTATACAAATGTAATTTGTTGTTGTTGTGCAGAAGACTCATGCAGGAAACTTGTGGTCAATGGCAGATTCCATGGTTGGAGTAGATTTGACAACTGTGTACTGTAACTGTACAAAGCAACATTCACATTAGAGTGAGGTGTATGCTGCAGAACAAATTCACCTAGATTCATAACATGTGCTCAAGATTTAATGGCATGTTAACCCTTGTGTTACAACATCAATCAGCGTTACACAATTATTATTATGAGTGCTATATATACACAAGACTTTGCTTTTATATAGCGCTCTTAACATGGGGAAGCATTGTAGGAGCGCTTAACAGTGGTGAAGCATGACACGGAGTTGGGGAGAGATGGGAGGTGATTGCAGGCACTGGTCAGGAGCTGAATGTGGGATAAGAATGAAAGCTGGGCATCGAACCTGATGTTGAAGTTGTGCGCTGGTTCATTGAGTCCGAAGGATAGGCCAGGGAGGTTAAGGGGGTCTGAGCCATGGATGAGAAGACGTTGACCAGAGTCAAAAGCCACACAACAGCAGATGAAGACTGGATATCTAAATTGTTAGTACAATGGAAGATTTGCCTCTATAGGAAAAATATCCAGACAGATGAGACTGTAAATGCTTGTTTCTCACAGCTTTCTCTTCCCTGGGTTTGGCTTTGTTCAGCTTGCTGCACGGCCAGACACTTGCATGAACACTTAGTTCAACCGAGACTGAAAATATACCACTGTTTGACTTCAGAAAATTTGCTGGCTTTATATTTTATCATTCCAACCATAGTAACAAGTGACATGTTTCTTCCAATCTCCATGTACATTCACACCTTGAAAATTATTGAAGATTTCAGAATAAACTTACAGCATCAAATATAATGTCTTTGATCAAACCTATTCCTTGAGTGTTGAAAAAATTGTAAGTAGCTCAACATATATAAAAAGTGATTGAAATAAGGTGTGTACAATAAATGACAATTAAAGTGAATTCAAATTTTAAAATATAGTTATGATTTAATAAATGTAGGAGTACAACAGTGAACTCTCAAACCAGCCTGGATTTTACTGGCAACAAAACTCCTTTTCTAGAGATGTAACTCACAAGGTAATATTTGGACAGTTCTCTCCCATATCTTTAAATACAACACTAAACTCTGCATTGGCACTGACTATGAAGTGGAATCTGGTCCCTTGTTCCTTAACTACTGGAGACAACAGTTGAAACCCAGAAATTATAAGGATGGTAGTAATTCCAAATTGAAATTTAGTATAACGTTGAGAGAAGGAGAGGATTAAGGAACATTCAAAATGCAAAGTATTTACTTTTAATTTTGGATTGACTTGTAGCAAAAACTATTGTTATCTTAAACAAAATTGGAATAATTGATTGAAAGTGTGACTGAAAAAATCCCTGCAGGTCCATTTATGTTTTCATTCTGCCTGTGAGGTTTCAATTAAGAGGCATTTCTGTTACCGGGAGCATTTACAACAAGATTCACATTTCCAACAGATCTGTGAGGATATTCCCATTGGAAACTTTAGGAGTGTGAGAAAGCAGGATAATTGCAACGTTCCAGGTGTATTTCACTCTGTATATATTTCCTCATTGTTTCCTTTTGGGAAACTACTTGGTGAGACCCTTCCACTCTCTCCCCCTCTCTCTCACCCCCATCACTTCACCTAACATAACAAAGCCAAATAGTTCCTGCCATTATACAGTGAGATTGAAGAACCTGAATGTTCTTGAAATTAAAGTACATCAAATAAGTTCTTAAACTATTGTGCAGTGCTTTAGGACATAAAGTAGATAATGGGTAGAGCTCGTTCTTTTTCACCTGCAATCTTCTCTCAGCCCCAAAGCACTCCACAATGCACTATTTTATAAATAGTTATGCTGTCAATGTTAATGAAATGGTGAACTATCTTTCACATTGCTGATTTCCACTGACCAGTGAATCGCTCCTAGGTCCTCATTACTTTTCATATTTTTTCCTCCTTTCTCCATCGATCATGCCACACTTCATGCTGTTGTCGACCTCCTTACAAAAGCTGGCATTGAACCTGCCTATACTCTGTACTGTGATGAGCCCTGCTTACCACCTGGTAAAGACAGACTGTGTGCAGTGGTGTGCTGAAGCTGTGCTTGCGGCTGCTTTACATGCTTTGAATGCTGGAATGTTTGAGAATAAACTTGAGTGTGACTATTATATAGTGTTCACTGTTACATGAATTGACTTCTGATTAATGTGGTTGATTAATTCAAAGGGAGTCAAACTGATTCTTCCCTCCAAGGTGGACATGATCTAGAAATAATTGTCTACTGAGAATTGTATATTGTATTATTCTCAATGTCCTATGTCTCTAGAACACTTGTATCCTGAAAGTCAATATGTATGGCTAGACGTGGATAATAGCTGCTTCTTAGAAACAATTAGGTGCTGATTTAATATCCAACAGACGCATCTACTTCATGGACACAATTCCTAAACAATGACATATAGAATAAAACATAATTTGAACTGTGGCATTACTGATCAAGTTTCGCACAATCCTTTTTCTCCCTTGTTTCTTACAATGCGAATAGGAGGATAGAAAATATTCTTCTCCTGAATATTTGAAGGATTTTTTGATTTCAGTATGCTACATTGTGCTACACCAGCTATCAGCAAGCATGGTAGCAGTGAGGTGGTGTATCCTATCTACTGTAAACTAGCCATAGAATCATTTCCATTATACCTCTTTGAGAACTACATTTTGGATTTGAAACAACCTTTGTGTTTGTTAGAGGAATGAGAGAAAAGATTATAGACCACAGTTCTTATTCCAATAGGTGACTCCAAAGCCACTTCCCTTCTGATTTGCATTTGACAGTGGTTAAAATAAATACAGAGGCTCAAAAGATTTTTGTTTTCCAGATTAATAGTATTTGATAGTAATCTCTTAAATGGGATTGTCCAAAGTGAGAAAAACATTCTTTTTGTCCCTATAAACCCAGCAGGTTTCATTAAAGCACCTAAATATTGCCAAGGGCTCAATTTCTATAGGTATGGATGAAATGATAAAGTTATTTATATTAACTGCATAAATTCATATCCAGTGGATTATTGTACTCAAAAAACAGCTCTAGTGTGTGCTGCATTTTTAAAAAATGCTTCGCAAACATGTCATTATATATCTGACTGGATTTCAGTCTGTGCTTGTGAATTTTCTGGTGTACTGTTGAATAGTCTCTTTCCACCAAAATTAATATACACAAAGTCAAAAGTGAAATAGCATCAGAAATGGCACTGTTAAGCAGAAATGCACAATGCTTATTGGGCTGCTAATTATCTATAATCTTGGCGCATTTGCTAAACAAAATTATACTTCAGGCAAAAAAAAAGGGTTTTTCTAAATATTTTTCCCTGAACACATGAGTACAGTTTACATTTTACATTTATATATTGCCTTTCACATTGGTAGGACGTCTCAAAGAGCTTAAAGGAAGATTTAATAGAGGATAAAAGGTTTTGAGTGATCCATGATGCTCCTTAGCACTTTGTTGTATGGACAAAGCAAAAGGTGAAGTAAAATTTACTCCAATGATCATACCCCATCTCCCCTGTTTATCAAATTTCCTATTTCAAACATAGATTTGAGCATAGTTATAGGGTTAAACGTAGAAGCAAAGCACTGACTACTGAATATAAAACACTGCTCTGAAAAGTGTTATTCGTACAGTATTAATTTGTAGTTATAGGTATTTATAGACTATGGTTCACTGAAGATTTATTGTAAGAAAATAACAAATAATAAAACATTCACCAAATTTGCTAATGCGTAATGAACTTTTACATTTCCTAAGGGAATTCATATTTATTAGATTTCTCCCATTAGACTCTGTTACAGTTTAATCCCTATTCCTTTGACACAATTTCACTTCCTTTACACTTAACTAATCACGTGGCTATTGTTGTAAGGGATATTCCCCTTATAAATGGCAGTGCATGCGTGCATTTGTAAGAAGTTTATGTCAAATAAATACCACAAATAAAGTAATTCACATTATTGCTGTTTCTAAAGAACAATGACATGGGCACAACACATGAAGAGTAAAAATTGTAAGACAGTTTCAACTAAGCATGTTGGATTGAACTAATGGCTACTTAATAGTCATTATAGAAGGATGAGTGATCTTTTCATCCATCTGAGATAGATTTGAGGCCAGATTCTAGAGATTTTGAAGTGTTATAGCAAACTAGGTCAGCCGGTCTGTATTAGCGTTTGATTTAAAGAATAATTATTTGAAATTCTATTTGTAACTTTGTAACATTGAGAGAAATCCACGGTTTTGCTTCCGTATTACTCAAATAATCAAGCTTGGATCATTGTCTTAGACATTTTTATTTAATTATGAAAATTATGGAGGGAGCAGAAAAAGAGAACTTACTCCTTATCAATAATGCTGCTTGATCATATACAGTTTAAGTCTAAGATCCAAGTAAATGAGAATGTGAAGAGAAAGAAATCCTGGCTGTGAAATATACAAGCTTGTTACCCCAGTGGATCTAGATGTGCTGTGAAGTCATAATCCAAATTAACATAAGGACATAACATAAGAAACGCTAGATGAAAAAAGACCAAGATCCATCTAGTTTGCCTTCCACCTTCCTGGCAGTCGCATGCACATATGTCGCAAACTACCTATTTACTATATCCCATAAAGTTATTCCCTAAAAGAATCTGTGTTTGAAAGAATCAACACTTCCTGCTTCAACCGTCTCCCTAGGGAGCCTGTTCCACAGGTTCACGATTCGCTCACCGAAATAGTGTTTGCGTAGATATGTTCTGAATTTACCCCCTTCAATCGCAGGATGTGTCCTCTGGTTTTATTACAGGACAATCATTATTGATACAAATTCAAATTGCAAACCATGAAAGCATGACACAAACTTACTACATGGTTCAGATGTGTCATCTTCTAGCCATGATAAAATATGTTAACATAAAAGAATATAGACAAAAGAATATTCCTTCCCTATAAAATGTAATCTACAAGTCAAATCACTATAAAACATTCTTTGCAAAGTGGGCTTAGTGATGTTTTTGGCTGACGTTTAAAGTGCTTTATTTTCCTCAGTGATCTGTTGCTGCGCTTCCACTAACTACTGTATTGAAATGTTGATGTAATTTTGCTATTAATACTGGCAAATATTGCACTATTGTATGGTTCACAGAGCACTACTAACTGATTATAATGAAGTTTAGGATTCCCATTATACTTACCTTGTGGTAGATTTGGTCAGAAGTAATAATGCAAGATTACTGTATGATTCTAACATAATTTGTATTGGCTATTATTACATTAACTATGATTATTGAACAGACTGCTAGTGTAATGATGGTGCTAATTACAGCACAAAATGAACCAAAATAGACAAATTATTATACTTTTGTTACATGTTTATGCATTTCTACATGTCTTTAAACATACTTAGCCATCATATATAATATTTAAAGATTTTTTTGAGGTTCTTAGGCAGTAAATTGTAATCAATGCCAATATATAATTTCATTAGTTTTATTTCCAGGAAAATAATCATGTGCTGTACTTTTAGTGAAGTACAGGCCAGGGCTATACTGCCTTATAGACATCACTATACTTTTTGCTGGATATAATAGCTGACTCCTATGATATGCATCAATATTATATTAAAGAATGTTTTGTGTTATCTTTAGTGGTGTTTGCCCTATTTGCATTCCAAAGTTGGTGCCTAGGGAACACTTTTCACAGTCTGCTTTTCTAATTTAGATTCTGTTGATCACAGATGCATTTAACACACAGATGCAGTAGGGGGTCAGGAACATAAAAGTTTTCAAGAAGAATATAGCATTGTTTAGGGGAACCCAGTGATATTGTAGCTGGACGTAACTCTTTGGAGTATCTATATTTTAAACACAAATAATGTGGACATATTGTTTTCCTGCTTACTTATCATTTTATTCATCACAGTGCAAGTTATGTGGCCCATGGAAATGAATGACAAAAATCCCCATTATCTATTTTTTGTAAACATTCTCTGATTCATCTAGAATTTGTGAGCAGTGTGAACTATCTGGAATCTAGTTAGCAGTTGATGTTTCTGAATTGATGAACATGAGCGTCCAAATCAATATTCAATTATTCGTGTGCTTACTTCATTGCATAGAATTTCACTCACTTTTTGAACTTGAGAATGAGAGATGTTTGAATTTGTATCTTAGGAGCATTAATACACTTTCTAGACTTATTGACCGTTTATCAGTACTTGAAAGAGAATGTGCACAGCAGCTGTAAGCATGGCTGGTAATAGTTTTAATGCATAATACAGTGAGGGCTTCTTCACTCATAAAGGGCAAGTATTACATTTCATTGACTGAATGTTCTTTTTTTAAAATGTCTCTTGTGCATTTGCCATTTTATTTTTGTTATTGCCACAGCTACTGACACTAGAACTGCACTGAACAGACTAAATGGCTTGAATGGACTTTCTGTGTGGTTTGTGTCTGTGGACTAGGCTATTCTTCATTCTCCCATTGTTCCTCATGCATTTTTTCCTAACAGGAAAACGTCAAGTTGATGTCGGCAAAATACTAAAGGAAGCACAGAGCCCTAGAGGCAAGGACTTGTTTCATGTTCTTGATTAAATTCGTGGCATTGGCTTTGAAAAACTCTAACACTTGAAGACTTATGTCCCGAAAACATATTGACAAATTGTAAAGAATTCTGTCACCAGTAACACAATAAATCTTAAAAATAAATCTTTGTATCCCACTGAAAGAAAGTATTTGCAAAGGATTGAGCATGAAGTTATCATTCATCGTTTACCCTTAAGGCAGTAAAATGAAACGTTTTACCAGCCCTGGTACACAGGCATTTTACACTTCATTCCAAGACTTATTTTGTTATTAAATGTTTCCTCCTCATAGTTCATTTTGGCTAATTTGAAATTGGGCTAAACGAATGTATGCTCAAAAAGTCATTGCTTAATGGAATTTAATGTTTTCATTGCATCCGATGATATGTTTGGAAACTAACAGCTTGCTTTGATTCTATGAAAGGTTGAAGATATTTGATTATGCTTTGCCGTGTTTGGCTTTGGAGTGCATTTTGCTTGATGGTAAATGTGCAAATTGTTGGCTTCGTACAGGCAGCGCAGCCTGGGAAGTAAGTTGGCTATTCTTGCATAGTCTTATGAGGACAACTAATTGCATTAGCATCAATCATTCATCAGGTTTATCTGTGCATGTTTGGCTAACGACCGGACATGTTCAACACAATCTTTTCTTGTTGTGGTCCTTGCCACAGATCATTCACAAACCTCACTCTTTGTATTCTTCTTGTAGATTCCGCTCTTATTCTTACCATTAGGTCTTTATTCTCAACAAGCTTTTAAGCAATGTCACTCTGATCAATTTCAGTTATACCAATTGTGGTTAACATTTTTGGTAGTCCCAGGTCAAATGAATTAGCGTTCTTTTAGAGCACCTGTGAGTATTGAGGATTAGAGTGAATTGCATGTGTTAGAGTTTTTAAAAGAAATTGACAGGATTTGGGAATTTTTCTGAAGGATCAGATTTCATAACCTTATTGCCTTTTTACATCTTATTCATACAAATGGTTCTAAAGCATTGTGCAATGTTTAGTTTTATTCCCTCTACCTATGATGGGAGTTTTCTATACTTCTAAAATACAACTACACTTAAATATTATTTTTCTCACATTTTGTTAAAGCCTTTCAATACAATTGATCATTCACTTCTTGGCTGCCTGTGGGACATCGTTACTTGTACATTGGCTGCTGTGTTCACCTACAAAATACATGGTTACTTCACTTTATAGTAAAATCTTGTGAAGTGCTTTAAGATTGCCTGCCAACATGAAAGGTGATTTACCAAATGCAAGGATTTAAAAATTATTATTATTGTGTTTCTAGTTGCCAGAAAATAAAACCGCAGATTAAAAAAAATAATAATTGGGTAAAAACTATGATATTCAACGTAATAATTATGACTGGTGATAGCTGCCATATTATTCTGTTCCTAGTAACATCTCCTGTGCTAATGCTAATTGGGTATGGATGTACAAACTCTCAAATTTATGCAAATGATTGTCCCCGAAGACACTTGGAGCAGTCATTGATCCATGCTGCAGTGCTTTTGAACTACTGTCCTGTGCATCTCAGTATTGTAGAGCTGCTTCACAGAATAACGTCTTCACTCAAATTTAAAAGCAGAGTTTCAGACTTGTTCTGAAATCCAAAGATCAATGCAGCGACAGGTTCAAAAGTGACACGAGTGACTTTGGGTGTAAAAATTTAAAGAAATCAGCGCCTGAGCCTCATTGGCTCATTAACCAGGACATCAGCAGGAGTCGAATGCCACACAGTTATCCCATTATATTACACTACATTTTTCATCCTATAGTTTCTTTCTCCAGAACAACATTTGAATCCAGATACCACAGATTATCACTCCTGTCTTTACCAGGAAAATGCTCTTATTACCTGATATTTTTTAATTTCTACCATTGCATCTGGTAAACTAGTCCAAGGAAATTCCCTCTGATATTATTTTACATGTTATTTAATTTACCTGTAAATGAAATAGGCAGCATTCTAAACTCTGAAAGAAAATTATACATTTTTTTTGCACATGTTCTGTTTTTTTCTTTTCAATTTCTAAATTATTGTCTCTATCTTACTGCTCTTTCCTTACATGCATTCAGGAGGTTTTAAAGAAATAAGCTCAGACTCTATGAAAGTCATAGATGAGGCTGTGGAAGATACGTCAGATTGGATGTATGGTTTTATATCTTTACTGTGTGATATAATGACAACCACAGATTACCCAGATGACGATATGGATGAAGGTATTCAGAACATATAGACTTCTATAGTAGTTAATACATTTTAGATGTAACATTATTTTTAAGATTAAATTATATAAAGTCTGATTGCAATAAGATGCCATATAAATAATCAGACTTATTTTTCTCTGTTGTATATTCCGTGGTAAAAAATTCTGCTTTTTAAGATGCTAGATATTTAGACTTGTATAAATCTGAGATATCTGCTAACTGATGTTTGTCACACATGTCTATCATGTAAGGTAAAGAATTTAGATCCTTCTCCCACTGTCACCTTTCATCAGTTTCATGTGTTTTAATTCAGACATAAAATATAACATTAAAACTGGCAAACCTTATTTTGGAATTATTCTTTAAAAGGCAATAAACCTGAATCCCTGTCTGTATCAATAATAAGTTATTGGAGTCAAGAAATTTTTTTTTAAATAGAAATTCCTGAAAAACAATACAGCTGAATAATTATTAGAAAGTGGTGATGTTGGTTAGGATGATATGGATTCAGCTCAGGAAACTAAGTTTGAACTTCCTCACAATCAATCTTTGGCAATGGGATGTTGCAATTGAGTCAACTCTTTGACCCTGAAAGCCAGAGCGCTAACAGTTAGGAGGGTACAAGTTGGACAAGCAATAGGAAGCTTGTCAGACAGCGCTCTCAATGGCAAGCTATACAATTTTCGCTGGCTAAACTCAAGTAGTATCCCAACTCGCACTCTAGTTAACCATGTTGAGGTTGACATTTGCAAACCAGAAACCACTGTGCTAACTATCTTTTGGTATCCATATATATGATAATAATCCCTCCAAAACAAAACAATAATAAATTGGTCATTTTCAATCCATGACTGTTTGTGGGACACTGCTGTGTGCAATTGGCTGCCGCGTTTCATCCACAAATATACAGTCAATTCACTTTACAGCATATTTTGTGAAACGCTTTGAGACGTCTAGAAGAAGTGAAAAGCGCTATATCATTTGCAAGGATTATTATTATTATATCCAACTTAAATTGTTGGACGACAGCTGACCAGAGCCTAGAGCAGTAAGGATGATCCCCAGTGTTAGAGAAATCAAGTACGAACAATAATTGGACAAGCTAGGGCTCTTTAGTTTTGAAAGGAGATGTCTCAAAGGGGACCTTGTAGAGATATTTAAGATTTTAAATGAGATTGAGAAAGAAAACTCAAAACAATACTTTGAGCTGTACTGAGAACAGAGGACACGTATTTAGAATTGCAGTGTTAAATAATATGATTTTTGCCCTAATGTATTTAAATAACCCGGAAGTGCTTAATCCTGCCATTGGGTGTAAAAGTGAAATGTTCTTTTTGCTCAGTAATGACATCCCATTTTAATAAAATCAGAATTCACACAGATATCAGTTCTTTTATAAATATATTATCAAAATAAATTTAGAAGCATTGACTTCAATCATTTTTGCTAACCCATCTCAATGAAAAAAATCTCAATGAAAAAATTATTACTGTGGCTCGCTGGACCTATATATTAAAGATAATAATATAATGTAAAATTGGTTTGATCTAAGCAGAGGAAACCATATTTTCAATACCACATTAAACTAGCCCACAGGTCAATTACACATCAAGAGCTTATTTCCATCCTGAAAATTCTTCCTAATAAAGAAGACTTTTATCCATTTTTGTCATTTGATCTATTTATTCTTCAAATCTTAAATCGCTGTATAAAAATAAGCCATGCTAAAACTATTGATCTCCAGTATCTGCTAAATTGTATTATTGTTTTTTTCAGGTTAATGCATGGGACAACACATTTTTTTATCTGAAACTTATTAATCTAATGCATTTACACAACTAAAGCACAATATTTTTGCTCATTTTAATCCAGAAGAAATAGTATTCAAGACATCCTGACAATGAAATTATTATCTTTGGGGTGATTTTTGATTAAAACACCTATGAATGATTTATTGTTGTCTTCTATGGTTATCTTTCTGCCCATTGAATGCTGTTTCTGCTTTCAAAAAGCCAGCTTTCTACCTAACTTTTATTGCTTGTGAATATTAATGAAAAACTAAAGCATTTTGTTCCACTTTAGTGCCTGATATAATTCAATCTTAACTGACATTTTTTATAATGAATGTTTTATACATTTTGAACTTGGTTCTTATATTGGGAATGTTAACAGCGGTAGTGTGATCTACAAGGCACTGAGATTAAGAGAAGTCTGAATTTATTACTATTGAAAGGAAACAGGCAGTTAACTACAACATTTGATTGACATCTACTGCAGAAATCCATTTAGTTTTACTCATAATGCTGTCACTGTTCAAAATAGGGTTTAGAAGTGTAACAGATGATACAAATAACGACCCAGAGCTTTACCAATGTCTACTGATAACCAGATATTTGCATACACACAGGCAATCCACTTTGGAAGTAGACCACTATTTTTGCTTTTGTTCTGAATATTGCACTTTAGACCCCAATGTCAGCAGCCATTCTTCATCAGTGAGTTTGAACAGAAACTATGTACTGACTACTTGACCGATGCTTTGCAATCTCATGCTCACATAGAGTATTTTCCAGTGGGGGCCACTGGAAAACTATTTGGATTGAAAACACTAGCCATATTTTCCTTTTCCTAGCCAGGGACACCAACAACAACTTGCATAGTGCCTTCACACAGGGTAAAATCACGAAGACCTAGAGATCCTCCAAGGCCAATTGTATTACTTCATTAGTAACTTAATTGACAGAGGTAAACTCGGCATATACCAGAGCTCAAATCTCTGGGAGCTTTCCAGTTTGCAGGGATCCAAACCTCACTACGTGCTGCATTTACCCACTAAGCCATTTGGTTGCATCATGACTCATTCATTTATAAAGTAGCTTCAGAAAGCATCAGTGGCTAAGAATTACTGTATTGAATATATCAAGGTTCTGCAGGAGGAGATCCGATTCTGTTACACTAGATACTGAAGTAGTTTGTTCTTGCCCACTTGGACTTGGGAAAGTAACACATAAAGAGCACAACTCATGGGAAATCAGCTGTAACTGAATAAATTTTTTGTCATAAAGTATTAAATGTGGAGAAATGTTTTTACAAGGAATGATCTAAGGTAGGAGTATTATTGTGTATTTTGTAGAGCATTCCTTTAAAAATATTTTAGATTTTCACTTAATTTCTTCTGCCTCTTCCTTGGATCGCTGCAGTTTATTGTAATTGAGCAATCTAACTGCCTAGCTAGTGGGGAATGGCTTTAATTTGCAGTTGAGCACAATTCCTAGAACATCATTAAAAATATCAAAGTGGTATCATGAGACCGTCTATCGTACTGAAAGCTCAGTTCAGTAAAACATAGGATACGTGCTGCAACAGTGGGCTTTGTTCTGATTAAAGCATTCATGAAACAGTCCATTGCACCTCTATTGCAGTATAGAGTCTATGTCTTCCTATATTGAGGCCCTGCCAGCAATAAAATTAAATGGGATCCTTGGCAAATCAGAATATTATCACAACATNAAAAACACTTCATTCTAAATGCAGACTGCATTGTCCGATCCTCAGGTCACACTCATTAGAATACAGTATAGCTTTACAAAGCTTACAAACATGAAGTTCATTTAAGCTTTGTTATTGAGTTTGCATATACATTAGAGAGCTGCAGTTTTAAAAAAAACTATTGTCTGTTTGATTCGTAAAGAAAAAAACTCATTTGAACAAACTGCCTGATTTCCATTCCCCATTGATTATTTTGTATATAAAAATGCTTAATCCCAATAGAAATTGCAGTCTGTTCTTTTTGGAGACCTTGTGTTAGTTAAGGAATAACTTATTATTATTATTCCAGGTAAGTGGAATGGCCTTTTCTAACTCACTCAACTGCCATTTGGTTTGATATCAACCACTTTTTAAAATTAATGTTTTAGTCGTCGAGGCAAATTATTTTTTAATGTACGTTTTCACTGCTTGTTCAGCCAAATATGTTATGATACAAGTTGCTTTGGAAATATAATGCTTCAAATTAATTGACTTCCTGCAAAAATATTATTAAAAAACTGAAATCAATATTGTAGCAATAAAAAAGTTCAATTTGATCTTTATTGAGAAAAACACATCTACATAACTAATCTTATTTTACTTCTATGCTGTTTGTGATGATTGATCCAAATGTATATAAATTGTATTAACTAATTATAATTTTGGAAGTATTGTAGTTTTCATTGATGCAATCAATTGTTATCATTTACATTTCATGTAATTAAATGTTAACTTAAATGTGTATAGTTTTCAGTACTTCAATATCCTATAATGTATATTGGCACTACTTGACAATCTCTTTTCATTTTCTTCCTTTTGATTTAGGTCAAATCCAACCACCGTTAAAAAAGAAAGGTGAGTGGTTTACACTACAGCATTAAATTTTATCTGTGAACTTAAAGTGTCATGCATTTCAAGGCGATCAAAATGTTTCAATGTATTACATCAAGCCTTTCCAGTGAAAATAATTAATGACTAGTACTGGTTGCCTGGAATGGTGATTTGAGGCCAGAATACTGGACTTGTTTAAAAGAACTTGATGCTATGATGGGAGGTCAGTAGTGTGGATATTCCAGAGAGTGAGATCAGAGAAACCAAAGGGCCTTTTTTATCCAAACTGATCTAGTGAAAAATGAACAGAAGCTTTTTCAAAAGTGAATGACACATGAAAGCAAAGTGCATGCATTGCAGAGCTATCACAACACATGTAGACGATTGCTTAAAGTCTATTATTACCAATGAAAAAAAACAAAGAAACACTAATAAATCATATGTTATGCTAAATCTGCAGAGATTCCCACCCTCCTCCTCCCATGTAAGTGACCCTTTTGCTTTCATTCTTTGATTAAACATACTTTAACTTTTATTTTTGATTCTCCTTTAAAATTAATGATTTTGGAATAAACTGGATTAGTATAGGCGTAGGTAGCAGGCTGTATCCAATTATTTACTGCTAAGAACGAGTCAATCACATCTCCAGTGAACCAACATTTAAATAAGGTTTGAATGCTTGTGGAGTTCAAAATGTTCATTTGTGTTCAGGTGCAAAAATTCCAAATTGTATCAGACCGAATCAAACCTATTCAATGTAAAATTGTGTCTATGGGTTTCTGCACTGAGCACTGGAGGCAGAAATTGTTCTTCTACAACAATTATACAACATCATTATACAGCTCATTTTTAATAGAAGGAAAACAAATGGACTGGGCCCAGAGAGATGATTAGAAATGCCAGTCTTTAGTACAGAGCACAATAGTAAAAACTCACAGATCACATACATCTGCAGTACTGTGTCTACTTGGCAGTAATGAAAGCCATTCAGTATAATACATAAGAGATTGCATACTGCAATTCTTCCATCTCTGAATGGCAGCACTTAGATGTGCACAAATTAAATTGGGGAAAATTGTTTTACAAGTAAGGCAGATGCTGATAGAATGCAGAGCAAAACTGCATTCTGTATTTGCCACGGATTTATAGACTGGGCTAATTATACAAAGATTCAAGCATAAATATAATAATAACTTACATTTATGTGGTGTCTTCGACATAAACATTATTGCCTCAAAGTGCTTTGCAAAATATAAACTTGAGTAGAAATTAAGCAAATTTGTTTATTATAGCTATAAGCAAAAAAGAGCAGCCAACATATTAAATTGGGGTTTAATAATGTTAATATGTATTAAAATATATTTACATTTATAAAAATAAAACAAACAAATATTTGTGTGATAGACACTATGAAAACACTGAACACAAAAATTGTGTAGACATAAATACATTTCCTGCACATCTCTGTACAGTATCCAATGTGTTGTGATACCTCTATGATGCACATACTTAGGTTTCGTCTGCATTGAATGTTCAAGAATTGACTATAAATAAAATGTTGGCTCCTCTTTGACTCGTCTTCTTCCTTAACACTCTGATAGGAGATCAGCAGATTGGAGAATTCTGGATCATTAAACAGGCAGTGGTCATACTCATCAGCTCAGATATTACTAAGAAAGAAAGTCTTCAGCTTTGAGATCCAGCCTGCACAGCTTTTTCAGCAAGAGCCATATTTTATATATACTGTAACCCACAATGGCAGTATATGAATGGAGAGATTTCAGTCTCAAATTTCCAGATGTACATTAGCTGGTGAACATGCTTCTGTGTCTAACACACAGCAAATTTGAAAAGGCTTTTTGAATTTTCTAACATTTGTCACTGTCTTAAATATTATAATAATCCACCTTTCTTTTAATAAGGAAGCTTGTAAAATGACCAACTAGTGACTATCCTCCTTGGGAGTGGGGAGATAAGCGGGGTTTAGAGCTGAATTGGCTTCAAGGTGACATGTTTGCAAACAGAATCAAGTTAAACCTCTGTGGCGGTCCGTAGTCCGGTTTCTGAGCTAAGTGGATCCGCAGTCCTCTAGGACACTGCCTATTCTGGCTCATCGGTAGGACTGCTGCGGGGGGGAGGTGGGGGGAGGTGTGGGAACCAGTTACTGGGGACAGAAATTCTTCTCATTCAGCAACTGTTAACCATAGCTGGACACCTTTCACATTGGGAGGACTTTCCAAGGTCCCAAGAATAGCAAATTGAATGTTTTATAGCTCAATAGTGCATCAATGGCTTTCAAATCTCAACCTGCACCGACTCTATTAATAATTGATATGTTCTGAGAATCACTTGTTGCCAATATAAACACATTTATTCTCTTTTGATGAGAACACACACACAATGTTTAAGGTTTTGATCTATCAGTCCATTAACCTCCACCAAAAAGGCGATGGACTGGTTTTGACTAGAGAAAGCAAAGAACTGGGAGTTATATTCGATAGGTTGGTCTATTACACTGTTTACACAGTTGGGTGTAAATTGGTTGGATCGATCCTAAGTTTAAAGGACCAAGAAAACATCTGGTTTGCAATAAGATGCATGGAATGAATCTATATGTACAGGAGAAGACTCCACAATAATCACATCCCATTGCCAGAGAAACCATTTACTATACGCAAAATACTGCAGATGCTGGAAATCTGAAACAGAAACAGAAGTTGCTGGGAACACTCAGCAGGTCAGGCAGCATCTAGAACAACAACAACAACTTGCATTTATATAGCGCCTTCCACGCCGATCGGCGTCTCAGAGTGCTTAACAATGGCGCAGCCCAAGGCCAAGCCAGGGGGAGGGGGAAGGTGACCGTAGGCGCGGTTGAAGAGGAGGAAGGAAAGTGAGTCAACATTTCCTGATGACCCTTCTGACATAGAATATCTCAATAGAAAATAATGACTACAATTTTATGTACTATTTTTCATCCTAAATGATGCACTTTAAAGGAATTGTTTCTTCAGTTTTGGTGGAATCACACTTCTTATCCAGCTAGGCCTACGTTATCTGATAAGGGGCAAAATGAGAACAATTCTGCCCCAAGGATATCTCTATTCCTCCCATTCCTACAACCTTAGTCAATCATCAACAGAGCCCTGGAGCTCTCCCCTCAGTCACTCTTCCCTCAGTCACTCTTCCCCTTCACAGATACGTCACCATGGAACGAGATGCACTCCAGCTTGACCCCACTTTCAGCCACCCCACCCCACCCCAAAGGATTAGGTTCAACTGGTTCATTGAGCAACATAGCTACATATGAAGTGAGAGTGCCAAGTGTGAGTGCATTGCCGCTATTCTCCATAGCACAGCCAGGACTTTTAATCTCCGATGGTAATTCATGGTAAAAACCCTGGTTTCAAAGTGGTTATCATGTAAATATTAGAGAGCAATCAAGCCAATATTTAAACAATCAATCTAAATAGCTTTCCTCTTAACCACAAATTGACAGGATTTGGCCATCAAATAGCTTAAGTTTCAGTAATTTTAATTAAAAGACACGGCTCATTTAGAAATCAATTATAATTTGTTTTCTTGACAACACAAATAATTATGATTTTAATATCCAGTTGGTGTTGTTTTAAACAAAACAACAGATTTGAAATTTTAAATAGACTCCGAAAGATAAATCTGACTTTTATAGATAATTGGACAACAGTTTGCAAACCAATATGTTTCCTCCAATTTGTTTCCCATGTTTCCTGCCTGCTCACCCACTCTCTTCTCCACATCTAGGGGAACCTTTTTCCAAAATACGACAACAACTTGCACTTATATAGTGCCATCCATGCATGGTCGTGTCTCAGAGCCCTTAAGTGGTGGAGCCTGATTCTGAGTTTGGAAGCGGGGAGAATGGCCGTAAGCACGGTTGAAGAGGACAGCTTTCAAGTTGGACTTGAAAAAGGGGAGAGAGGGGGCAAGGCAGAGGGATTGAGGGAGAGTGTTCCAGAGTTTCGGGGCGTAGTGGCTGAAAACACGACCTCTGATGGTGGGGCGGAGAGTGCAAGGGACGAGTAGGAGGCCAGTGCCAGTTGAGCAGAGGGGCCGGATGGTGGATTGGGGAGTGAGGAGGTCGGAGAGGTAGGGAGGTGCCAAAGAGTGAAGGGATTTGAACATAAGTGTGAGAATCTTGAAGTCAATCCGTTCGGTAATGGGGAACCAGTGGAGCCTGGCCAGAACCGGTGAGATGTGGGTATGGAGTTTGGTCCGGGTCAGTATGCGATAAATCCCAGAGTTCTGGAGGCTCGCATGCCAGGCCTCTCGCAGAATTCCTTCTTTGTTTCTTGGAGTCTATATTGATAACATCTGTTACGATTACAAAAAATTAGACCCTTTTGTAAAGCTTTAAAGAAGTGACTTACACTTAATGTTCAATATCTCAACAGTAACATCAAATATGATTTATCATCATTATCCCACCTTTGCTAGTCCCTGAGTAACTGAGACCACAAACGTGATTGTAGGTCATTCAGTGAGTGACATGCTTATTCAAACAATATCACAGATTGTTTACAAATTACAGGCTAAATGCAAGTGTTTCCTTTGAACATTTAGAAAGCATATGTTGAAGGACAATACTGTAATATAATAGTATTCATTTCTGGCAACAGGTTAAAAAGTCATTGCCTTTTGTAAAGTTTATGGTGTTTCAGGCTTGGCAGCATAATTCTTGTTTCTTAATTGCAGACTTTATCCATTTATGTAGATTCTCACCATTATTCTCCATTTTCCATGCTGCCTTTGGGGTAGGAACGATTGGGCAGTTTAATTCAGTATTGGAAATTTTAATTTAAGGATAGAAATATGGTAAATCTGTCTGAGTGCTTGTGAGAGTTAAATGATTTTAACATCTCTTTGGTCAATGTAGCATTCCTGAATTGATGAGGATGTTTTAAAGGATGATAGACAGACATTTGGGAAGTAAGGGATATGGAGAAAGAGCAGTGAGCTTGGATTAAAAGATTTGCTATGATCTA